ACATAAAAATAAATAAAACAAAGGTATTGTGACACAATACTTTTATTTTATTTATTTATTTTTATGTGGTGCTGAGGATCCAACTCAGTGCTTCACATATGCTAAGCAATCAGTCTACCACTGAGCTGCAACCCCAGTCTGAGCTTCATGCATTTATTTAGTTACCTCTGTAGAAAATCCCCCACCCCACAGTTTTCCAGAGTGGTTGTCCGTGTGTGTACTCCCCCTGACAGTGTTTGAGAGCTCTCACTGCTCCACCTACTCAGCAACAGCAGGCATTGTATAGGTCCAGTTCCCTTGGAAGTAGTTTTAAGTTCAGAAAAGTTATCCTGTGCTCAGCTAAGGACAATGTGTTTATAAGTGACAGAGTTGGGATTTGAACCGAGACCTGTGTGACTGTAATCTGTGCTGCTTCCCTCTGAGATAGAAATAGACATTGATTATGATCTGAACCAGAACTTGCAAAATTCTAACCCTAAGTATGTATGAAGAACAAACACTCTTTGGGAATTTAACGAAGGGGAGAATTTTCATTTGTTTGTAGGAGGAAAAGGATCATGGTACCTCACAGAGATGGTAGCTTTTGGGCTGGACCTTTCAGGAAAGGAGAGATTTTGCCTGGAGGGCTTTCCAGGTTGGCCTTCTGTAGAAAGGGCTCTGCTCCAGCTGAGGCCAGGCAGGAGTGAAAGTTTTTGGGGAATGGGAAAGGTCTACTTTGGCTGTGATACAGAATATATGGAAGAGGGGGCTAAGGCTAGACAGATGAATTGAGGCCAAATTGGGCAGGCGAGTTGAGCCTTAGGCTGCACCTCTGCTTGCTGACATTGGCCAACCAGGATGTGGAGCCATTTTATTAAGGAACTGGGGCTTCTTCAAATTCAGCTCAGTCTCTGATGGTGAATGGAGCTGGCCTGTCACTAAATGGAAGTTCTTAGCTGTTCCTGGGACCACTTTCAGTGTTTCTGCCAACAGAAAATTTTTTGGAGTTTTCTGCTTACATCTAGCTGTATGAGATTAGTCACCCCACCCCCACGACCTGACCTAAATAGTTTGTTTGGAAGGATTTTTTCAGCAAAAAGAAGATGGTAGACAGCAATCCCACCTCCTCTAAGACTAGTCTCAGAAGATTTGCCATATGTTGGGGGTGAGGGTAGTTCTAGCTTCTGATTCTGGTTTTGCGGGGGGGCCCCAAGCCTTTTTTCCTGAGAAAGGAGCCAAATTGGTTGTCTCAATGGCTGTAGGGAACAGAAACACAAACAATCGTCTGCGATGCATCAAATAACATTAATAATCACTTATTTATATAGCAGTTTATAATCCTTATCACAGTGAATTCCCAGATGGATGTGTGAGGTAGGTGATATGGATAATGTCACCTCTATTTACATTTGAGGAGACTGAGGCCCAAAGAGGGTGGCCCCCTGCTGTGGGCCACAGGGCTAATAAACACCAAGCTAGTTCAGACCTGGGGCTGCTAGGGCCTGCTATTTTTGATATTCCATGTCCCAGACCTTGCTGAAGAATAGAGACCAAGCACGGAGAGGATACATGAGGGACTGTAGATGCAGACAGGCAGGTGATCCTGAGAGTGAAACCTGGGAGCCAGCCCAGCTCTGCCTGAGGGTCTCAGGGATGTGTTCCTTAGCAGAAGGGAAAGTGGAGGTGGCATCCAGATAGTGGCACTCTGATTTGCATGGGGCAGAGCTGGAGGAAAGAAGGTGAAATGTATATATATCCCCTGAGAATTAGAACAGCTTCAGCCACTTGGTGTTGGTGAGATGTGCCCTTATGTCATGGTGTCTCCACCCTGCCTGGTGAAATTAATCATTTGAGGTACATGGAGCCTGGGTGTGGTTGGCATCTGATTGGCAGGCAGAGATGCTTCCCATGCTAGGCAAAATGGGCTCTGAGAGGCCTTTGCTAATTGACGACTTTTGAAAGACAGGTCCACAGGTTTTATCTTTTTGATTGGCAGACTATACCCTGGGCTCTTCCCTTAGAGTGCTGTCCAGGATGGCAAGTAGCTGTCTCAGGAATAGGTGAGGATCCCAGGGGAGGATGCAAACAGTCTCTTATAGTGGAGTGATGAGTGCTCTCTATGGCTTAGAGTAGTCCTGTGGTTCTCATTAAGGTACCCTCGGCAGGAACTTAGTTCCACTTTATAGATGAGGAAACCAAGCCTCTCTGACAAGCAGTGAAGTCACAAATCTAGTTGCAGTCAAAGCTGGAATCAGCACCTCAGGCTTCTGATCTTGGTACCTGTTGTAATTTGTCACATCATTCCCGCCCATTTTCCCCTTGGGGTGATAAGTGAGAGCAGTTACCAATCTGTTCAGACTTGCAGTTGGGTGGCACAACCCCTAAGGGAGCTGAGGTCATGATAATCCCTTGCCTTTCTATAGCATTTCGTCATTTACAAAACAATTTCATGACTTGAAGTTGATTTTTACAGTATTAGCCCATTTTACAGATCAGGATGCTAAATTCCTTGCAGCCTAAATGATTTACCCAAGCAAGAATGGGACTTAAACCTGGGACTTCTGACTCAAAAACTAGTGCTTCCATTACTGTACAACATTTTTTTATTCTTTTCTCAGTGGATCTGAACGTAATAAAAGCAAGTAGTTCACCATGGATCTTTTTCTCAGAACTTCTTCAGAATAAGTAAGGAAGACTCTTTTTCCATCTCCTTAATAAATTTGAATAAGTAAAACAGATGTGGTGACTCATCCCTGTAATCCCAGATACTCCGGAGGTTGAGGGGAGGATTACAAATTTGAGGCCAGCCTGGACAATTTAGGAAGACCCTATCTCTAAATAAATAAATAAACTGAATTAAGATGACTCCTATGAACCATACATAGTCTGTCCAAGTGAAAAGAAAGCTGGAGTAGGGCATTTCTTGAGGAAACAGGGCTGTGGATTACCGTTAAAATATTAGCTCCCTTGCAGCCAGCTGTTCTGAGTTCTCAGACTCCGAGGCTTGTGCTTATTTTCATGGCCCTTCTAATGTCAGGTTTCTTCCAATTTCAGGGTTGTATGGTCCAGGCCTCCATGAAGAGCCCAAACATGGAGACGTTCAAGCAGCAGAAGGTGGAGGACTTTTATGACATCGGAGAGGAGCTGGGGAGGTAAGAGATTGGTGGAGGGGATGTGATCCGAGGCCAATTATGCTGCCTTTTGGTGAATTGTCAGTTAGTGTTGTAAGACATGGGCTTGTCAAGGAATAGTGGGAAGCTTTAATAACAAGCCTGGGGCTTATTCATCTTCATGGGTGACTCTGCAAACAGTCATGTCTCTGGAAATCAAGACTTGCTAGAAGAAGGGGCTAGAACTGTTGAGATCTTTGTTTTCAGTGCAATCTGACAGCTGTGACAAATCTTGATGATTCTTGTTTCATGTGTTACTTTCCTCACAAATCCCTCTTCAGGACCTGACCTATTGATTTTCTTCTGAGCCCCACTTGGGATTCTCCATCCTGGTTCCCAGGATTTTGGTTTTTAAGCTCAGAGCCTGAATGAGAGGAGGTGGAGTAATCTCCTGTAAATGGATTTGCATTGAGTAAACAGTCACATGAGCCTAGTCATGAAGTTTCTTGGGATCTGAATTACTTAGTGCATTGTCAGTTTGGTTCAACCCAGAATGCAGTCAGGGCTGAACTCTGAGAAGTAAAACCAATTACTCTTTGGAGAGAAATTAGGATTTTCATGAGTTTTCAGGTCTCCTATTTCTAATAACTGCTCATACTTACATGGTATTTTTCATTGTTTTTGTTTTTGCTGTATTGGGGATTGAACCCACAGTCTTGTGCATGTTAGTAGATAAGTGTTCTACCACTGAGCTACATCCCAGTAAATTTTTTAAAAATTTTATCTTGAGATAAGTTCTTACTAAATTGCCAAAATTGGCCTCAAACTTCTGATCTTCCTGTCTCAGCCTCCCGACTAATTGGGATTACAGGCATGCACCATTGCACCTGGCAGGATGAGGTTTTTTAACAGTTACAAAAACACCAGTTAAGAAGTCTGATTCTCACAACAATGTGTGAAATAGGAATTATTTCTACTGTCATTTTCCAAATAAGGAAACTGCAGTCCAGAGTTTAAGCAAGCTGCCCAAAGTCACAGCAAGCTGCCCAAAGAGGCAGCAATTGACTTGGCCAAGGTGCTGACCAGTCCAGTTTGCACATGCGCACCTGTCCTGCTCTCTCCTGTGAGAACAACATTGCATGGTCACGTGGGCTCACCAGAATACCCACACACCCGGTGACATAAACCCCCAGCAGTTTGGGGTATCCGTTGTATTCAACAGATAAAACAAGGAGCCTTTTTCCTTTATAGAACTCTTGGATCAGGACTAGTCTTTTACTTTCCTTCATTTTTAAAGACAAACTCCAAAGCCAAAAGTGCCAGTCTCAGGAAAATGGGGGCAGAGGATACAACAAGTTCAGGGTGTGTTAATCCTGGCTGGCTAGTTAGGTGGGGAGCAAGTGACTGCAGACATCTCAGAGGGGATGACTCCCCAGCACAGGATGACTGCTCCTGCCAGTGTGGGGCCTGGTGAAGGGGTGCCAAGAACACAGAGGGCCAGAGGCTTGGGGGGCTCAGCTGGTTCTGCCTCTGAATGGGGAACCAGGTTCTCTTCACCTCAGGTCCTTCTGCCCTTGGGAAGTGGCATCTTCAGCAGATCTTGACAGGCCCTGCCAACAGCAATGGATTCGTTGGCCTCACCTTGGCCATAGGGAGTACAAGGTGCCATGAGTACACAGATTAACAAAACAGATAGTCTCTAGCTCTGCTAGAGCTCCAGCCTAGAGTAGGAGCAGCTGCATACACAATGACAGAGACAGAGTTGAATTGGATTATTATTATTACTCAACTGAGAAGTCAGGTGGGGCAAGGTCCTTGAAAAAGAAAGCAGAGGCAGTTCCCTGGGAAATTCTTATTATTCCTTTGTCATCTCATCTCCCATTTACTCTGTACATTAGGGACATAAGCGGAATAAGGTGAGCTGGTGCATGTTTATAATCTTAGCTCCCCAAAAGGTTGAGAAAGGAGGATCGTAAGTTCTAGGCAAATTCAGTGACTTAGCAAGACCCTGTCTCAAAATTGAAAAGGGCTGGGGATGTAGCTCAGTGGGAGAATGTCCCTGGGTTCAATTCTCAATACTGCAAAAACAAACAGAAAGGAACCTGAGCTGTTAGAACTGGAAGAGAACTCAGGTTTTCTGGTTCTCCCCTGCAGCAGGTGTGAAGGCCCCTCACAGGCTGGGGAGTCCCTATGCCCCAGCCTGTCTAAAATGCTAGCTGGGCTAAAGGTGGGTAAGAGGCAGCAGAGGCTTGGGGGCCTGAGGCTTTTGGAGTTTCCAGGCTTGCTAGGACCTGTGGTCTGAAGGTCAGGTGAGCTAGAAGGCCATTAGAGGTCCTCTCTTCTAGGATCCTTATTTGACAGTTGAGGAAACCAAGCATCTGAGCAGGGAAGAGTTTTGGTGGGGGACATAGAATGGGCTGGAACTAGAGCTGCCTTCAGACAACCTCTCAGATTCTAAAGGGTTAGTCCTGTCCTCTCTTCCCCACCTTTTCTTCACATGACATATTGAAGACCTACTGTGTGCCAGGTACTGCCCAAGGCAGTGATAAACAAAACATATACATTGTTGCCCTCTCACAGTCTGTGATCTGCTGGTGAAAAAAGGCACCAACCAGTGAAGACAGAAGGGTGAACCATCATACAGGGTGATCGGGCTGTGGAGGGAGGGAACCCGATTCTCTGAGAGAATAATGGGTGGCATAGTTTAAACTGGCTGCTCAGGGAAGGTTGCTCTGAACTCGTCATTTTGAGAATTGAGGAGTAAATGCCAGGCAAAGGCAGCAGCGTGGACTGGCTCTGAGGCGGGAAGAGCCTGAGGCCTGAATTGATGGCAAGAGGCCAGTGTAGCCTTGAAAAGTGAGCTGGGCAAGCAGTGCCAGAGGAGGTAGGTGGGAGCCAGGTCTAGTTGGTGAACTTCCTGCCAACTCAGAGTAGTACAGAGGTTTGGTGTTCGGGTTCCCTTCATAGCTGTGCAACCTTAGGACAACTTACTCAACCTCTGTTTTCTTCTCTGTAAAACGGGAAAAATAACAGTCCCCGCCTCATGTTTGTGGAATGGTATAAGATGTTGAGTTGAAGATGTTGAATCTAAAGTGTTGGGCCTAGCAATGGATTGATTCCAAGTAAATTTGGGACATCAAGGCCCCATCTCCCCGCCCTGCAGCCCTCAGGAGGAAGGTGTGGGACTATCAGGAAGCCCCACCTGGGGGTTAACCTCATTTCTGGAGGATGGTATGTAAACATACTTCCTCATTTTTTTTTTTTTTTTGGTATTGCAAATGAAACCCAGGGGCGCTTTACCACTGAGTTATATCCCCAGCCCTTTTAATTTTTATTTTGAGACAGAATCTCACTAAATTGCTGAGGCTGGCCTCAAACTTGTGATCCTTCTGCCTCTGAGCTACTGGATGACAGGCATGTGCCACTACACCTGGCACCTGCCTCCTCTTCTATCAGTGAGCACCCTGCCCTAGACTCAAGGTTGTCTCATTGACTTTAGATCTTCTAAGTTCTCATTATGCAAAAGTGTGAATGAATGAAAGCCTGTTACCTGTCATACTGGATGAAGCTCACAAACAATCTTGAGCAAGGGAGTTAGACTCAAGAGTCCATACTGTATAATTCCATCCATTTGAAGTTCAAACCGGGTGAAATGAATCTCTGCTGTTAGAATTCAGATAGGCAGATATCCTCAGGGGACAAGGGACTCAGAGGACCTGGGGAGGATTTCTGAGATATTGTTCAGATATTGTTTAGATATTGTTCTCTTTCTCCATCTGTACTTGTTTCACTGTGGTGTTCATTTCATGTGTAAGTATCAAGATGTACATGTATATTTTCCAGTGTGTATGTCAATAGACTACTAATGAAGAACCTTCAGCTGCGTTTCCTGTCATCGTCTGTCCCCAAATCACATGTTTTTGATTCTTTTAGAGGCCTTTCCTTCTTTATCCTAGGAGGAAGAGACCCTCTGTAAACTTTGGGTTGGGACAGTGTGCCCTGGCTGGACCATCCTGTGCTCAGCTGGGGTCCCGCCTGCCTGCACACCTCGCCTGGTTTCTGGCTCCCCACACTGCCTGCAGATGCTTGGCTGTGCTCACACTTTGGCTGAAGGTTGCCTGCTCTTTCTAGGAGTGTTTGGAGAAATGCTGGCCTGCAGAACTTGGCCTCTCCCAGCCTTGGCATCCACCAGGAGGGCGGAGCAGGGGAATATTAAAGCAGGACTCTTACAGAGAAGCCCATTCAGCCCCTCATTATATAGATGAGGTCAAGACCAGTGGCTTGTCTAAGGTCACACAGTGAAACTGTGATGGAACCAAGGTGGGGCCTGGTGATCTGACTCCTAGTTTAGGGTTCTAACCCTCCTACCAGAGGGACTCACAAACCACCAAAATCATTTTTTCTTTTAATGTCAATGCTTCTGGAGAGTGGGCGAGAGTATGAAGCAGGGTGATCTTCTCTGTTTGACCTTGAGGGTAAAGGTATGAGGGCCAGAAGTAGGAGGTGGAGCATTTGGGAAGGAACAATGTTTCCCAGTGACTGTTTCTCGGACCTCCACCTACACATCTACTGCATGCCTGAGGATATAAAGTAAATTAATTTAAGTATCATGCAACAATCAGAGATTCCTTGTTTCCTATTCTTCAATTACTTTCCTTCAGTTAATTTTTTTATTTATATTATTATATTAATGTAAAATCATTAAATGTTACCATTAAACTGGATCTCAACAAAAATTTAATTCAAGTCTCCCATTTTATAGACAGGGAAAGTGAGGACCAGAGGGGAGGTGACTTGTCTAAAGTCACAGAGCAAGTGGTCTAGGACATAGAACTCAAAGGCAGAACCTTCTCAACTGTATTGTGCTGGTTTAAACATATAAACAGACAAAAGCTAAAATTTAGCATCAGGCCTGGTGGTGCACTTCTATAGTTCCAGCTCTGAAGGCTGAGGCTAGAGGATGTCTAGAGTTTAGGGCCAGTTAAGATAATAAAAGATCAGCAACATTAACCCAATAGATATTTTTATTTTTATGTCTTCCC